TTGAAGTTAATAGCAAAGTACGCCCTGGAGTTAATGCCACTTTCACAGATCTAATCCCTAAGAAAAAAGAAGCAAAAAACCCTAAAGATTTTAGGCCGATTAGTTTGGCGACTAGCATTTACAAAATCCTGGCTAAAGTGTTATCCTTGAGGATTAAAGTAGTGCTACCCTCCATCACTAGTCAAGCATAGGGAGCTTTCGTGCAAGGGAGACAAATAACAAATTAGATTCTAATAGTGAATGGATGTGTGGAGGATATGAGAAAGTCCGGAAAGCAAGGGTTTGTTTGTAAGTTGGATTTAGAAAAGGCCTATGATCTGATGGATTGGAGCTTCTTACTAGAAATCCTAGGGTGTTGTGGGTTTGGAGTTAGATGGTGTAATTGGATAAAGGGTTGCATAAGTTCTTGCCATTTTTCGGTTTTGGTTAATGGGGTAGTCAAGGATTTTTTCCCAGCTCTTAGAGGTTTAAGGCAAGGTAACCCCCTTTCCCCTTTCCTTTTTACCCTAATTGCAAATGTTTTTAGTAGCTTGATCTCTAAGGCAGATAGGGAAGGTGTAGTGAGAGGATGGAGGATAGGAAGGAATGGTATTAGGATGACCCACTTACAGTTTTCCGATGACCTAATAATCTTTTGTGAAAGGGGTGATAGGAGAACAACAAGTAATCTCAAGTCTTTGATAGAGTGCTTTGAGAGAGTATTAAATCTGAAAATAAATTTTGAAAAGAGTTGTGTGGTGGGAGTGAATCTGGATGAGAGGACCCTTAAGTTGGTGGCTGAGTCTTTAGGTTGTCCTATTTCTTATTGGTCTTTACAGTACTTAGGTCTTCCTCTTGGAGCCAACTCTAAGGAGAGCACTTTTTGGGCCTCGGTTTTAGAGAAGTTTGAGAAAAGGTTGGCCTCATGGAAAAGGAACTATATTTCTTCTAGGGGTAGAGTTACCTTACTGAGAGTTTCCTTAGCAAATCTGTCGATCTATTATTTCTTTGTGTTTAAGATTCTGGTCAAGAAAGCCAAGAAACTAGAGAAATTAATGAGAAATTTTCTTTGGGAGCCAGGGGAGGAAAAAAAGGATCACTTAATAAATTGGGGATTAGTGTGTAGTGTAAAGAGATTGGGCTGAATGGGTCCTAGTATCATCTCTTGTAATATCTTTTCTTTTATTGTTGGCTAATGGGCCTCTCTTAATGGGCCTGTTATTTCTTTTTGTTTAATCTCTTTATGTTACTGTCTAGCTGGCCGCCCACTTAAGGGCATACTTGTCATTACTCTAACTTTAATTCTTAATAAAAAAATGATTAGAGGAGAAAGGGAAGATAATTAGATTCTTCTTCTTCTTCCTTCTCTTTTCGCCATCTTCTTCTCTTGTGTTGCTGCTCTTACTTCTCTTCTTCCTTTTTCTTCTAATCTTCAAATTTACACCTAAATATTTGAGGACTGATTTACATCTTGTAGGAGGAAAGAGGAAGGTGGATTGGGACTGGGGAATTTAGTTTTGAAGAATAAAGCACTCCTAGGAAAATGGTTGTGGAGATGGCCCCTAGAACAGGAGAGACTTTGGCATGAGGTGATAGCATACATGGCAGTTTGGGCAATGGATGGGATGCTGGTGTATCGCGTTGAGCCACTCTGGCAACTCCTTGGAAAGCAATTCAGAATATCCTTCCTCTTTTCCTCAACTGTATCAGGTATGATGTCAATTTTGGTACTTCTATTTTGTTCTGGGAAGACATTTGGGTGGGCAATTCTGCCCTTAAGGAAAGTTTCCCTTCTCTCTATTCCATTTCTTGATACAAGGGTAAAACAATTTCTCATTTTCTTCCAACATCTAATTCTCCATCTTCCTTGAGTTGGGACTTTGGATTTCATAGGGGTTTGAGGGATCATGAACTCTCTCATGTTTTAGACCTGTTGTCACTGCTTGAAAGTGTTTTTCTGGACCTTTCCGGTTCTGATGTGAGACTTTGGTCTCCAAACCCAAAAGGTTACTTCACATGTGCTTTCTTTTTTAAGTCCTTTTGCTCTCCCTTGAGACAAGTGGGCTTCCCAGTTAAGGAGATTTGGTCTAAACATGTACCTCCTAAAATTATTATTTTCTGCTGAGAGGTTTTCTATAGGAAAATCAACACTTCAGATTTACTGCAGAAGAGAAGGCCTTCTATGTTTTGTCTCCTAATTGGTGTGTATTTTGTAGGGCTAATGGTGAGGATTGCTCTCACTTACTTTTAACCTGTCCTTTTTATGCTGCTATTTGGGGTTGGATCTTTGCTTTGTTTGGTTGCAGATGGAATGACCACATCCATAGATCAGATCTTTGATTCTTCCTTCTTTGCGTGGCCCACAAAAACTGGTAGAACAATGTGGAGGAGCATTACAGGGTACCAGCTGTATGGGTACCCCTCAGAAGACTGGACAAAGCTGAATTTTGATGATAGCAGTCAAGGAAATTTGGGGCATTCAAGGATTGGTGGGGTGCTGAGAGACAAAGATAGTAATATATTAGCTTTGTTCTCAGACTCTGTGGGTATAGGAGACTCTATCATAGTTGAGCTCCTAGCGGCAGTACAAGGCATTCGGGTTGCAAATCAATTAGGAGTTCAAAATTTGATTATTGAAGGAGACTCCAAAGTTGTTGTGGGTTGGCTAAAAAATCTAGATTCAGTGATCTGGTGCTACAGGGGTATTATGAGGAAAGCTAAATGGTTCTTAAGGAACATGAATGTTATTTTTCAGTGGGTGGGTAGGACAGCTAACACCATAGCGAATGGGTTAGCTAAACAAGAGGTATCAAGGGAATAGTTTTTCTGGGCAGCTTTGTAAACTTTTTGTTACTAGTCTGAGGTAGTACATTGTTGCTATTGTGGAGAGGTACTAGCTCGTGCCCCTCCTTTGGGAAGGCTGTATTGTAATATCTTATTGATTTTATTGAATAAAATTCAATCATTTATCAAAAAAAAATGGGAGTAAGAGCGGTGGCTACCCCTATTGATACGAGTCACAAGCTTTCTGCTTCTAATGGAGAACTGTTGAAGGATAGGGGAGTGTTTCAAAGGTTGTTAAGGAAACTGCTATTATCTATGTACGACTCGCCCTGACATTGCATATGTTGTTAGTTGCATTATCCAATTCATACATGCACCCAGAGATATACATATGGTAGCAGCAAAGAGGATTTTATGTTACTTGAAGAGTACTCTGAGGAAAGGTATTATTTTTGCTAAGCATGGCCACATGAAACTAGAAACCTATATAGATGCTAATTGGGCAGGTAACATTGATGGTAGGAGGTCAACTTCGGGATAATATAGTATGGTTTCCGGTAATATTGTTTCTTGGAGGAGCAAGAAACAATCAATAGTTGTTAGATCTTCAGCTGAGGCAAAGTACAAAGCTATGGCTCATGGAGTTTCTGAGTTGCTTTGGCTTCGGTCCCTGGTGGAGGAATTGAGTGTTGAGTATGATAGACCACTAATGTTGTATTGTGACAATTAGGCCGCCATTAACATTGCCCACAATCCTATACAACATGATAGAACAAAGCACATTGAAGTTGACAGGCATTTCATCAGAAAAAGAGTGGCTTTTGGAGAAATTTGTCTACCTTTCATTGCATCTGAAGAACAGTTAATTGATATTCTTACCAAAGGAGTCTCCAAGGTGAAACTACAGCATGATACAAGCAAGGTGGGCATGATTGACATCTATGCTCAACATGAGGGGTAGTGTAGAGAAAATGGGCTGAATGGCCCATAGCCCATAGTTGTGTTTTTATTTTTTTATGTTCTGTTTTGTTAATAGGTCTTTTCTTATGGACCTGTTAGCATTAGCATCTTATGTTTTAATTAGCTAGCTGCCCCACTAAATGCTTACTTGTAATTTCTAATTATTAGTGATTAATCTTTTAATGAAAAGGATTAGGGAAAAGAGAGAGAGAGTACGAACAACTCATTTCTTTCACCCCTTTCTCCTCAATCGTTCTTTTCCTCTTCTTCTCTTCTGATTGTCTTCTTTTTGTTTCTTCACCTTTTTAATCAGACTTCTTATTCCTTTATTGGGGATTATTTTTCTTCTCTTTTCTTTTCTCTTTTTTTTTATTTTGAGAAAGGTAAAGTAATTTTATTCAAAGATCAAATAGAAAATAGAACAACAGACTTTTAGGGGGTAACCCCACAATCTGGACTTACACCCCTGAAGTACATATACAACCAAAGGTTCAACAAATCAACAGATCAAAGGAGCTGCACTGTGGACTCATGGGAAAACTCCTTTCCCCTATGTAATTTAGGAAGAGGTTCTTTTTTTTATGTAGAATGACAAAATGGGGCATTGGATTGAGCTGGGTACCTTCATTTGAGCATATTAATTTTATATCTTTTAGCACCATTTCTTGAGTCTTGACATAGTAGCTTTTACATACTGTTCAGTATTGTGCATTTCTGTCTAATAATAGTCCTGATCTTCTGTAAACGTGTAAACATGATTTTTTTTACTATTAACTTTTAAACCTATCTCTTTCTCCCTATATACATTATGTTCAAATGCTTAAAGAATGAATTTACAAATTTATGCATATTTATCTAGATTTGACTTTGGATTTAAATACAAAATTATGTACTTCCCTTTTTTGGCAATCTTACTTGTGTGGTGCCATTGTTGTCAGTGGAATCCCAAATGGTTGATTAAGGCTTAATCAGTTAGGTTGAGCTGAGTATTATGTCAGTGAAGAGAGAGGTTAAAGTGTTTCTTTAATCTTGGGAAACAAATTGTGTTCTTTGTGCACCCATTGTGAAGCATATTGTCCACAATCATTAAAACTGAAAAAGGAGATGGTGTCTATTTTTTCCATTCTACTAATGTACAACAGTGCTTTACTGGGTGTTCCTTGTGCACCTATTATTCACCACATTTTGCAGAATGGGGATGTTGAAAATTACTTCTCTTTTGCCATATAAACCTTTCTTTATGGTTAGCCTAATAATTTGCTTGTCTTTATGTACAGCATCAGGTCAATTGTTTGTCTAAACTTGCCTAGCTTTTCTGGTGGACTAAATCCATGGGGAACACCAAATATGAAGAAAGTGTGGGATGTGAGTTCTACTTTCCCTTTTAATATTTGTTTTGGGAGATAGATAATTTTTATTTTTTATTTTTGATGAATAATGAGTGAATTTATTTATAGATTAAAAGCATAAAAGATGCACAGAGAAAATTCCCAAGATGAGGCACAAGATGCAGCTTTAGATTAAAGCAAAAATTACAGTTTAGCCCAAAACATCTGATTCCTATGCACCCCTTGTTTCTCTAATGAATCTGCTAACCCATTTGCTGATCTTCTTTCCCATTGGAACTGGACTGACACATTTGTAGTTAGCCATTTGAATCTTTGTAAAGCTTCTTTATAGGACCATCTGGTTCTTTTAACCATTGGATCACCAGCTCGGAATCACCTTCAATTAACAACTGTTAACAGTTCAGTTCCTTGGCAAATTCAGCTCCTTGTAACACTACTTGAATTTCTTCATTGACTGAGTCCCCTACTCCTGCCCTTCGGTATTTCTAAACACTCCCCCAACACCCGAAGGACCCGGATTGCCTAAACTGCTGCCATCAAAGTTGAGCTTAATGATACCCTCTTAAGGAGGTTTCCATTCTGCTAATGGTTTAGGTCTTGTACTAGAGCTCTTGGCAACTGCTTCCCAGTTTCTCCATAAATCATCAAAGGAGAACGGGGAAAACAGTTCCAGGGTCTTTACCCAATTAATGGCTCTATTAATTAAGCAATCCTATACAATGATCTCGTTCCTCTCCTTCACATCAAAGATCCTGGCATTTCTTTCTTCCCAAACAGTCCAAACCAGTGCAGCCCTAGCACACCTCCACAAGACTTTACCTCTTTTCTTAGGCCACCTGAAGGTTGTAAGCTCGAATAGTTTGCTAATCTGCGTTGGCATTGTCCACCTGCATCCAAAGAGATTTAGAAGCTTTTCCAGAGACATACAACAAAGGGGCAAGGTATTAGTAAATGGTAACAACTTTCTCCACTTGCTTTGCAGAGGACACACCAGTTGGGGGAAATACTCAGACAAGTTCTTCTTCTTTGTAGGTTGTCCAATGTGTTTAGCTTTTCAAGATAGGCCTCCCAACAAAGGGCTCCCACTTTAAGGGGAATAGGTTTAGACCAGACCTATTTACAAGGGAAAGGCTAAGAGCTAGGGACAAAGCATAAGGAAGAGAAAAAGGAGACGTAAGAGAAAGAGCCCGAAGGGTTAGGGGAACAAATATGAGCATTGGGTTTAGAAGGATCTAGACAAATAGAATCAAGGAAGCAAAGTAACTATGTTGTCTGGTCAAGCTCAGAGTCTCTTAAATATCTCCTGAAACCCAAATCCCAACTAAAACCAAAAGAAGATGAAAATGAGACAAATCTTTGAATAGGTTCATTTTTAAAGCAAGAGAGGGAATACAAAGGCAAAAAAAGATCCTTGAGGGTTGAGTTTCCAATCCATAAGTCCTCCCAAAAAAGAACCCTATCCCCAGTACATACATCATACCTGAATAAGTTTAAGAATTGTGGAAGAACGCCATGGATTGCCTTCCAAGGAGAGTTCAACGTGGCCCTCTGAGAAATGCCAGCATCCCAAGCATTGCCTTCTGCTCCATGAATACTCTCTACAATTTTGTGCCAAAGTCTTTCCTCCTCCAAAGCCACTTACCCAAAAGGGCTGAGTTTTTCTTACCTAGGTTACCCAATCCCAGATCCCCCATCCTCCCTTTTCTTGCATATTAATTCCCATCTTACCATATGATCCTTCCTTTCCTCTCCTGGCTCCCACAAAAAGTTCCTCATCAATTTCTCTACTTTCATTACCTCCCTTTGCGGCATCCTAAATACTAAAAGAAAGTAAATTGGGAGATTTGCTAAGGTGGATTGAATTAAAGTAATTCAACCCCTAGGGTCACATAATTTCTTTTCCAAGCTGCCAGTTTCTTAGCACATCTTTCCACCACGGGATTCCATCCCTCCCTAGGATTGGCTCCTAATGGTAACGCCAAGTATCTCAAAGGTCAACTAGATGTCAGACAACCTAATTCCTCAGCTACCCCACCTAATTCCTCCTCCTTTAAATTCATCCCCACTACACAACTCTTTTGGAAGTTGATCTTTTAGTTTTTGACACAACCTCAAACAACTTTATCACCCCTTTCAAGTTCCTTGCTATCTGAGGGTCCCCTGTCTTACATAAAAGGATAGTGTCGTCTGCAAACTCTAGGTGTGTAACAATAACACCTTCTCTTCCAACCCTCCATCCTCTAATCAGATTCAACCTGTCCGCTCTCAAAATAAGTCTACTAAAAACATCTGCTAACAAGGTATAGAGGAAGGGAGAGAGGGGAACCCCTTGTTTCAGCCCTTTAGTAGCTGGAAAGAAATCTCTAACCATTGCATTAACCAACAAAATAATAAGCAATAGTGAAACAACATTCAATCCAACCACACCACCTATCTCCAAACCCAAAATTCCTCAAAACTTCCATAAAAAATGACCAATCTACTAGATCGTACGCTTTCTCCAGATCCAATTTACAAACAAATCCCTTGTTCCCCCTTATCTTAAAGTCTTCCACACATTCATTATCTATCAGGACTTGACCAGTGATTTGTCTGCCTTGAATGAAAGCCCCTTGTAGTTGACTTATTAAGGAGGGCTAAACTATTTTTAACCTCAAGGAGATTACTTTAGCCACTATCTTGTAGATACTAATCACCAAACTGATGGGTCTGAAATATCTTGGCTGAATTGCATCTCCCTTTTTAGGTATCAAGGCTAAGGTGGAGTTGATCCCTGAGCTAATAGAATGCTCCTCAGCAAACTCCTCAAAGACTGCCCATAAATCTGACTTGATGATATCCCAACAGTCTTGATAAAAAGCCATAGTGAAACCGTCTAGCCCTAGAGCTTTAAATCGATTCATTGAGAACAGTGCTCCCCCTTATTTCTTTCAACTCAAACTCCCTTTCCAACCAATATGCCATTTCAAGGTTCAAGCTTGGCCAATCTAATCCTACCAGACTAAAACTAGTGCCCTCCTGTCTCTTATATACCTCTTAAAGTGATTTACGGAGCAAGTGGCAATCTCCTCCTGGTCAGACACCAGCACTCCACTGACTTCCAGTTTCTCCACAAAGTTCTTTTGCCTTCTACCATGTTTTTTTTTTGATGAGTAAAGAGATAAGATTCATTAATAGAGAATTAAAGCAATTACAAGCTTCCCATGGAGAGGCACGAGCTGCGTCCTCTCCAAATAGCAGGAAGAAAGACAAAGGGAGACAGATAACAGAAAACAAAAACAAAAAAACTGAAAACGGGAAACAGATTCAATCTACAATTGAGCCCAATATAAGCTTTCCTTGTTTACCCCTTGCTTTGCAAGGCCATCAGCCATAGAGTTAGCAGATCTCCCCATCAGCCATAGTTTACCCCTTGCTTTGCAAGGCCATCAGCCATACAGTATTCTCACTGTCAAACTTCTTGTCAGGCAGTTGAATTTTTTAATTTCATTCTTAAAGCACCACACTATAGAGTTCGGGTTTTGTAGCCATTCCACTACCACCTTGGAGTCCCCTTCTATTATCAGATGTTCCACACCTATCTGCACAGCTAGTTGTACTCCTTGGATAGCAGCTGCGAGTTCCGCCCTAACAGAGTTTCCAGCTCCTATGGGCCCCGAATAGATAAGAACCACATTCCCAGCCTCATTCCTCAATACCCCTCCCACCCTTGACGGACCTGGGTTACCAAGACTACTTCCATCGAAATTCAGCTTCAAAAAGTTCTCAGGAGGGGGTTCCCAAGTCAGACTCACTTTAGTCTTTCTAGATGAACAATTATCCACTGCTAACCAATTCCTCTAAATATCACTAAATGATAAATGATGAAATAAGTCCAGTAGTTTTAGCCATAAGATCACCCTATTTAGAATGCATTCCTTCATCTCTTCTAAGTTTCTCTTCTTCTCTTGGAAAGTTCTGGTATTCCTTTCTTCCCACACGGACCAGAGCAGCATTACTCTTGCACAACTCCACATAATTCTTCCTCTTCTGTGTTGCCAAGGAAGGAAAGCCGGATCAAAAATCAAGCTTGCATCCGCTGGCCTGACCAACCTGCTCTTCCGCCTTCTACCATTGGTTAGTGCATGAAAAAACTTAGTATTTCCATCCCCTTCTTTGATCCACTAATGTCTTGATTTTTACCTCCAGCAAGTTTCTTATCTAAATAGAATTTCTTCCAACTCCTTCAGTGACCATCTTAGACTCCTATCTTCCACTGATAATACACCCAAACTTTCCTTGTCATCAAAAATCTCAATTTGGGATATCACATTTAATTTCCTATCCTCTGTTCTCCCAAAATGCTCTCTATTCCACTCCTTGATTTTGATTTTTAAACTTTTTAATTTCCTGTTGAAAGTTGCTTTCTCCCTTGGACTCCTTCCATCTCTTCATTCCACCACTCTTTCACCTTAATAGCAAAGTCCAAGTGAATTAGCCACATTTTCAAATTTGAAAGGTCTAGGGCCACTTAGAAAGTCTTTAGTCCTAATGCTGATTGGCCAGTGATCCGAGGTGACTCTTGGTAAAGCTCTAGCTGGCAATCCTATCCAATGCACTTCCCATTCTGAGTTAAAAATAAATCTATCCAGTTTGGAACAACTTGGGGGGTTTTGTAGGTTAGACTAAGTGAAAATGGTATGTTGAAGAGGAAGTTCTATCAATTCACAAACATCAATAAAATCATTGAATTTCCTCATGCTTGTCGTGACCAATTGGTTGGGGTTATTTGTCTTGTTTGTGAATTGAACCACATTAAAGTCACCACCTAAACACCATGGTCCATTCCACAACCCTCTAATGTCATAAAACTCTTCCCACATTAAACCTCTATCTCTATCTGTAGGGACCATAGACATTCAATAGAACCCAAGTAAACCCATCTTCCACACCTTTGAACTTCAAAGAGACTGATAATCAACCTATTAACTCCTCCATCGGTTCCACCACCTCCTTCCTCCACATTATCACAATCCCCCCAGAGGCCCCCCACTAGGGCACAAATGACCAACCTATCCCTCTAGAGCTCCACACACTTCTCGCCCATCTTGTTTTCAGGGTTTTCAATTTTGTTTCTTGTAGCATTACTATATCTGGACATTCTTTTTCTAAGAAGATCCTTTATTACCCTTCTTTTCCTAGCACTGCCTAAGCCTCTGATATTCCAGCTCAATATCTTCATATCAAAATTCAACTTAATCCCCACTCAAATAATCCCTTACTTTGGACTCTTCCATCCCTGCCCCCTTGCACTAAATTCAAGTTCAGCCGCAACATCAGATTTTAGTTTCTCTACCTCTGTCATTTTCTCTTCCTTTGCTCAGTTGTCTCTTTTTTCCCTTTCTTTTTTGCATAGGTTTTAATGTTTTCTACCTCTCTCAACTCTAACCCCATCGCTTGTACAAGATCTGCCGCCGCTTCCTTTTCCTTTTTATTTGTCCCTTCATCTACCCTCCCTTCCTTCTATGAGACATCCTGTATACCCAACTCCCCTGCATTATCTTCAGTTACAACCTCCTTCCTTTGCAGATCCTCAAAATATTCACACACCGGCCCCCAGATTTTTTCACCAAGTTACTTCCACTCATTCTCCTCCCTCCTACCTCCTACTTCACCCCTCAAATCCTGCTCACCTTGCACGCTATCCTTTTTCGGCCTCATAGGCAATGGATGGGGCCGAACAAATTCTGTTACATAGTAGACTCGTTAGTGTTCTTAAACTTAAAATAGACGTACCTTCCGAGGGGAGCTCTGTAGGAGGATCACGATTTCTTGGATTAGAATTCAATCCACATAGGTCTGTTTCGACTCCTGTAACAAGAGGTCTGGTACTGATCTGGACAACGGAACTTGGTGGCTGAACTTGGTTTTCACTCAAAATCCCCGGCGATGTGCCTCCACTTTGCAGAGAAGGTAAGTTATTAGCCATTAACAAAACATCTTGCACCTGCACAGTCTCCAGGATCACTTCGAAGTCTGCTGGATGGTCTTCAATACCTTTTCCGATAGCGATTTCTTCTCCCCTACCTCCTTCTGTCGAAGCCTCATAAAAAATAGGTACCATCGAGCTCGTTAGGTTCTTTGAACAATCTTTCTTCTCCATTAGACTCCCGAAACAGTAGTTCTGTGTCAAAGCTTTAATCTTCGTGGAACCCACCATTTCTTACCAGGCAAACGCTTCCAATGCTTGAGGTCTCTGCATCTTCAGGGTCTGAATCTTCATCGCCTGATGAAAAAATGTCTTCTTGCTCAATAGATTTATCGGAAGAGCATTTTCTACTCCTTGGATTACGGCATTCTGGAGATTGTACCAAGTTCACTGTAACCGGTCTCCAGCTTAAGCTCGTTTGCCGCTGCAAGACATTCGGCTGTGCTCCATGTCGTGGGGAAGACGATAATGGACCATAGTTAGTGTCCATCGTCGGTCTTACTAAAGCCCCCACGTGAGTGACGTGACTACTTAAAAGGTCACCTGACACCTGACCCTGCTCCATTAAGTTTTGGTCCATTTGGCCCACAATGATCATTTACATTAAACCCCTGGCCCGGCCCCTTTTCTAGCCTCTGGGCTTCAACCTCTTCAATTCTTCTGGGCTCACTCGAGCTCCCTGACATTTGACAGTCATTGGCCCATGCGGTTTCTTTATAAGGCCCAACAATTCCCCTTCTTTACTCGTTCCCACATGGCCCTCTCCACTCGCACCCACCTGGTCAAATTGCTTCGGTTCTTTTTGCTAAGGTCTTGAGCCACGCCAGGCTCTTTCTTTTGGCAATTCAGGTTCTTTATTAGTGAAACCTGTAGCCAAATGGTCAAACTACTTGTCAGTCCTTAGCATAAGATTTAGACCCCATCTCCCCAATCTTCCCTCCTATTTGTTCCCCTGTTTTATCCTCTGACACCTTTCCAACTTCATTCCCTAAACTTTCCTTATTAGAGTAAGTTGCGGCCAAATTTGAATTCACCAATCCTGCTTGTCCGCGTAGCCAATCTTCTTCAACCTGTTCATCTGCCTCCCTTCTTCCTTCTCTCCACAGAGAAGCTTCAATGGCTGTTACTAGCCATACAGAATAAGAAACACCGTCAACCATCACCTTAATCATACGAGGAATATCTTCAGGGAAAACATTACTCAGAGAGACAGCTGCTGACTGGAGGTCTCTGCGGAATATACCATACAACCGAGCTTTGCACAGAGCAGCTATGGATTCAAACACCTCATTTGTCCAGAGATGAAACGGAAGTCCCACAATCCGAACTATTACCTTGTCTTGGACATTCAAGTCTTTGGAATTGGATAGAGGGGTCCACTTAGATATAGTCACAGTTCCTGCTTCCAGATGTAGCTCAGAGGATGTAGTTCCTCCCCTTCTAGCTCTAGCAGTGCTTTGCTTTCCTCAAAGGGAGTTACAATAATAGTGCACTTTAAGTTTAATTTCTTCAGTAACTCATAACCAACCTTCTTCCAATCAGTCAATGGAGCTGTAGAAGATACTTTGAATTTTTTCTCCCAATCTGACTTGGTAGTCCTGAGGATTAACCTACAATCCTTATTAGCTTGTCCCACAGCAATCAACCCTTCTGTCTCTTTGAAAGTCACCTTCTCCCTCCTTGCAGAGACTATGCTGGGATCATGTTTCTCCTTTGGTGTCTCTAATAGATTGCCGATTCTCTCCCCTGATAGAGAAAGTCTTCAAAACCTCTGAGACCTCTTTCCAACCAGTCGTTTGTTTTCCTTCTGGGAAGCATACCATTTGCCTGCCTGTGTTCCCAAAAAACTCCACTAGCACCACAAATCTTCCTTTAGCATTCTTCTTCCTTTCTGCTACATATCTCCTACCACGACCTTCTATTGATCCTTTACATTCCAGCTTCGAGCTTAGCTTAGTGGCTTCTTTCAAGAATGTCCTGAACCACACTATCACTTCCTCTCCTACCAGGAATACCATAGCCATTTTCATTTCTCTGATTTTAATGGCCACTTCCCCCCACTCTGAAACTTACCAAGAGGAATTGTTTTGCTTCAACCTTCAGAACCCTTCTCCATGGTTCTGCCTGTACGAACTTACCTTCAGAACCCTTCTCCATGCCACTATCTTCCTCTCTGGTCTTTCCTTCTCTAGATCACTCCTGTGGCAAGATGGTGCAATAACATCAACTAATTCATTTGCTGGTAGGCAAAAATAAGGGACCTCTTCAATATGGCAATCCAAATGCTTCAAATGAACCTAATTTGGATGAGATTCTTTTCCTTGATACTGAGTTGGACAATCATCAAACCTTCGAGCATCCCTCCTACTATTTTGACCCGGTTCTCTAATACTAATACCTTGACGGGTGGGGGTAAAGACTATGCTTTTATCAAACACCTCTACATTCTCCACAGGGGACTTCCCTCGGTTCTCAAAACAAGCACTCCCTGAGGACTGTTGTGTAAAGCCGCCACACACCTCTAATTTCATCCGTTAGCTCATCTCTAAAATCGAACAAATCTACTACTTGGTCATTGTTATCATTCAACATCATGCCATATTCATGCTCCAAGTCATCGACATCCATGCAATCCCCAGAACGAAGACTACCTAACTGGACAGAAACCACTACTAGCTGAAGAGGATAGCACACCAGATGGAACAGAACCAGGAAAGTTACAGAAGGGAGACTGACGAAGGAAACTTCCTAAAGAACCAGTAGATTTCTACTCTAAAATTTTCAGTTTACACATGCCACTGAGACCAAGATAGACAGTTTTAATGCCACTTCAGAAAACTGTACTTTTTTTGAGTCACTTCAGAGAAGTCTAATTAATTTTCCCTTTAGATGTTTCTGCTATAGATATTTGAAAAGAATTTCATGGATTATTCTACAGAGAGACCTGACACCACCATATGTAGATGATGGCCTTCTTGAGGTTGTTGGTTTTAGAGATGCTTGGCATGGGCTTGTTTTACTTCATCCAAAAGGACACGGCACTCGTCTTGCCCAGGTTAGAATAAAAGATGTTCATCATATGATAACTTCCACTTGGTTTTGTTGGTTAGGGAATCATTTTATAATAAGCATGTAAGGTATATCATGAATGAGAAGTGGCAAAGATTTTAAAGCTGAAATTCTAGTAACATGATTTTGCTGTTATATGATAGTATTTCCACATAATCATTAAGATTTAAGAGTTAGATGTTTCTCTGCATGAAGTCAGAATATTTGATTGATATGCTTTTTCCGTTAATCTCCATCCAGCAATTACCTTACCAATTTAATATCCAGATCAGTTCATATGTTAGTCCTATATTCTCTGCCATTACGAGATTTGTGTTCATGGGACACACAAAATACATTACTGGATAAAACCAAGGATTGAAGTATTGGTATTAGTATCGTATCAAATAACTTGGATACAGATATGGATACGGATAACGCTTTGAAAATGCATGGATACGGATGAAAAATATGGAAATACTTGGATACACTAGGGAAACACATACAAATTTCATGAATACATTACTAACACTAAATTTAAGGTCAAATAGCCATAAATAATGTATAAATATATAAGTATATATATTAATGGTATACAGGAAAAAATATATTACAATTAATATAGTGGGGTGCATAGATATCATACAATGCATTAAATGAGAGTCCAAGACACAAAACATATGGACCTATTATATTTACCTTAATTATTATATCAATTGTTTTCTATTTTATAATTTTTGCTTTTTAACATTGACAAAAAAAGTTAACCGAATATTAAATTCTCAAATATAAATTAAATTACAATTAATAATTTATAAAAATATATAATTTTAACTTAAAATATATCAAATCTGTTAAAATTTCTAAGACATATATCATATGCAAATTCATAATTTTTAATTACTAAAATAATTTTTTTATTATTAAAATTTTTATTTGTATAATATTTTTGAAATTAAAAATCATTTTTCATATAAATGTAAATTAGTGGATTTTATAGATTCAATTTAATATTATATTCTTGAATATTTTGTAAACAATTTTTTTGTAAATAATAAATATAATGTTATTTAATGTAAATTGAAATATTAATTAATAATTATAAAAATATATAAAATTGTAAGATATACATCATGTGAAAATTTATAAATTTTAAGTACTGAAATAATTATTCTATTATTAATATTTTATTTGTATAAATGTCTTGAGATTAAAATCATCTTTTCATGTAAATGTGGATTTGAGAGATTATTTATTCCATTTGTTTATAAAGTACTAATTTTGAATATTATATCTTTTAATTTTTAGTTGAAGTTGTTAAACATAAATATGTATTATTTGTTTGGATTTCATATGGACACAAAAGTTTATAAAAATTATTTTATTTCATTAAATGTCACAAGTCACAAGATGGCTTAGTGGTTTGAAGTTGTGTTGAGAGTTTTGGCCTTAGGTGCTAGGCAACCTAGGTTCAAATCATCCTATAAGCATCAATACCAAATTTTTAATAGAAAGGCATTGTGTATCAGTTGATACAATGCGATACAGGCTGATACACACGTATCGGTCAGATACGTGCGATTTATAGTATATGTTTCTATTCATAGCATATCTTGTATTGCCTTGTACCGATACTAATACGATATGCCCCATATTGGACGTATCTTGTCGATATTTAAAACCTTGAAGAAAACTCAACATAACTAAGCCTTGCCCAACTATATGGAGTTGGCTACATGAATATTCTTTTGCCATTCCACTCTCTTCTATGCCATGTCATAAGGGTGCAATTGAGCCGAGCTGAGCTGAAATTCTGTATGTCTTGGCTTGGTTTGACTAAAATATTGTTAAGCTCAAGTTTGAGTTCGAGTTCACGAATTCTATTTCCTAATTCAAGCTCGGTTCGATTAAAGATCAGATGAACTCGAGTTCAACTTGAAAGATCAAAAACGAATATATTTTTTATATTCTGTAAATATAATTATATATATATATGTATATATTATAATATACAGTATATTCTTATATTATATAGAGTATAAAAATATATTTTACGTAAAAATATTTTTTCATAATATATTATAAAATACATTTTTATATTCTATAATATGTATGTATGTAAGTATGTGTTAATTGAGCCATGCTCGCAAGTTTTCAAGCCGAACTTTTTATTAGTCTAGCTTCAGTTCAAATAACTAATCGAGCTTTCCTTGAGATTTGAACTCAATTAAAATCCAAATCGAACCAAGCCTAATCAAACTCAAGCCCGATTTATTCAATTAGAGCTCAATTCCATTGCAGCCCTAGCATGTTGGTTGTTAAATTATGAGCCCGTAAACATTTCTCACTACTTCAACTCTTGTCCTTTATGGTCTACCCTTAGCTCTTCTAGACTCTTCAACTTGTAACCAGTGTTGCATGGACAGACATGAGAATCGAAATATGATGCATGTCTAGGAGTCTGACTTGGCAAGACAAAAAAGAAACAAGGACTCGTAGGAGACATTTATAAACAAGTATAAACTATTAAAATACTCCATATTTTATTGAATTTTAACATTATAAACCTGTAGAGAAAGTTGTTAAAAGATTGTCTTGATTACATTTTGTAGGAAAAAATGGCATTTAATCTGTACATTAACTATTCATTTATGTCAAATAAGCAATAGGAGAAAAAAAATGTAACTTAGAACTGTCCCTCAAGAATCTATGTTTTGTAGGAGTCCAATGTGTGTCTGGCAGAAATATTTCCTTTATTTAAGATAGTACATGCAACACTACTGTAACAGATCACTTCTCATTGGAGTTGTAAGTGACAAATCCATTTCATCACCAATGTGTGTCTTTTCTTGTACATGAAAAAACCATCTTAGTCTACTTTCCTTCATTTCATCACCAATTGGTGCTACTCCTAGGTTGCTTGGAACAAGTACATATTTGATCCTATCCTTTCTAGTTTTCTCACTCATCCATCTCAGCATTTGCATTTCTACTATGCTCATTTTTTGGACATTTTGTTTCTTGGCTGCTCAATACTCGGGGATATTTTGCTGATTTTTTCTAAGATATTTGGAAAATCTAAAGAAGTTAAGGAAATTAATAGAACTTGGAATTTGTTAATGAAACTTCATTGATTCTTAGAAGTATAATTGCACATTTAGAACAAAAAAAACAACAATGAAAAATAATTATGTATATTAAATAAGAGAATATTGAGTGATTTTAATCTGTGTGTGTGTATGTGTGTGTGTGTCTTCCTTTTAGGTATGGTTGGTTCCATTGTTTTGGTTGGACTGAAAATCTTCTCTTCCAGTTGTGTGTGTCGTGCTCTTTTTCATATTATAGTGACTTAGAAAGTAAATCACATATTCACATTAACAATGGTATACCAGCTAGTGAATCACAGGATCCATATTTGTTCTTTTAGGAAAATATTTCAATTTTTTCAACAATTTTAATGAAATATCTATAAATAAAAACCACCTAAGAGAGTTTCCTAAAGTTGGATTTCGATAGATGTAGTTTGGGCAATCCTAGCCTTTCAGGCATTGGGGGTGTCTTTAGGGATTATAGAGGGTTAGTTATAGCCCTTTATTCAAGTCCTATTACCGCTGGGAACATCAGTGCAGAAAAGTTAATGACACTACTTCAAGGGATGAAACTAGCAAAGAATCTTGGATTCAACAATCTGATTGTGGAGGGAGATTCCAAAGTTGTTGTTAGGCTGGTTGAGAAATGACAGCTTGATTCCTTGGAAACTCCTAATCTATATGAGTGTGATCAATCAGCTGGGACTTGGCATGGATTTTCCCCATTCTTTAGGCAAAGAACACACACATTTGGAGAAATTGACCAGTTTCTCCACTTTCTTTGGAGTCTCTCACAAATGTTTGTGATTTACTCTGCCTCCCAACAAAAGATCTTCACTTTAGGGAGGATCGTGCTTGACCACAATTTCAAATGTTTATGATTTGCTTGGATGCCTCCTAACAAAAGATCTTCACTTTAGGGAGGATTGCGCTTGACCACAATTCTTTAGCTGGAAAGATTGGGTTATCAAATGAATGAGTTAGGCAGTTGAAGGAAGAGCAGGTAAATATGTCATTTGCATTTGGGATCCACACTTTCTCATCCAACCCAGGAGGAGCCAAGATCACATCTTGAAGAGAGTTGAGGGAATTAGCTCAGTAGTTTCATTACCTCTCAAAGGCCTCAAACGTAAATCCCAAACCAGCCCCGTCTCATCAAAGGAGATCAGATCAGCTATGGGTTTGTTTTTAGCCAAGGATAAATTGAAGATTCTTGGATAAGAGAGGCAAAGAGGAGGCCATCTCCACCAAGTATCCTCCCTTCCCCTCTTCCTTACTGAATACCTCATTCTCTTCCTAAGTTCCTAATGGATAAATGAAGGAAAAAAATCGAGAAAAAAGGGAAAGGGAGAAAAACAGAAAGAGAAAAAAAAAAAAAAGAACCCTGCTTTTCTCCCTTTCCCTTTTTTCTCGATTTTTTTCCTTCATTTATCCATTAGGAACTTAGGAAGAGAATGAGGTATTCAGTAAGGAAGAGGGGAAGGGAGGATACTTGGTGGAGATGGGAAAAAAAAAAAAAAGAACCCTGCTTTTCTCCCTTTGCCCAAGGAGAGGATTCCACTGCCAAAAGAGGCGGAATTTCTGCTTAACAGATCAACATACAAACTAGGCAATACTCACCTACCTCATTTTTTAGTTGCATGGTTTCTGTTTATTTCTTTTAATAGTTTAATCCTATTGCAGAAAGTTGTTATTTTTTCTGTTTAGTTTGTCATGTTATACTTTTGACCTGTGGAATAATTTTCTTTATGTTTCCTCTCATTAGAGTATTTCTTCTTTCTGCATTTAATGAATATTACTCTTTTCAAGGAGGTTATTATTGTTAGGGTGATCATAAACTCGTAATGAGAGAAAGGGTGAACCAGTCTGACTAGGTGGATAAGGTGCCTAACACCCTTGAATCCCTACAAAGCAATTCCCATTCGCTTTAAACATCTCCCGTTGTTTTTAAGTTCAATGTAGTCACTGTTTTGAAAAAGGAGTTATGACATCTTTATGCTTTTGGTTTTCCAAATTGCCGTTTTCAAGTTGGGTATCCATTTTATTCTAACTGAAATGGAAGTTGACTCCCAAAGCCCTGTAAAGGGGACAGTAACTTGCAGCGAAGTTGCTATACTGTAGCAGCTAGGAGTTGAGTATCAGGCTTGACTGTCTGAGAATGTTTTTTTTTTTTTTTAAGTTCTTTTCTTTATCATATAGGCACATCGAATCCGTTTCGAATTTCACAGGGGTGCTGCTGAGTGTACATATATGAGGATTGATGGGGAACCATGGAAACAACCCCTCCCTGTTGATGATGACACTGTTGTAGTTGAAATCTCCCACCTCGGTCAAGTAAACATGCTTGCCACTCTAGGCTGCAGATCCAAAAGTGTCCACGACCCACTGGTACCTAGCAGCCCTCATGGTGAAGAGGAGGATAGTGAAGAAGAGTCTGATGAAGACTGGGAAGAGCGTAGGAAGTTTGGAGCAGCAGATACATTCAAAATTCCTGATGGGATTGACATTACTCATCTCAGTTAAGCTTGACAAAATATTCATCATTCTCTCTCAAGTAACTGTCATTGTTTCCTAGCAATTGAGGTAAAGTGCCCTCTTCTATTTGTTAATGAATCTAATTTGCCAGTAATAAATTATCATCATCTTTAGGCAGTAAATTGTTCAAATTCTTTTTTTTTTTTTTGTCTAATTGGCATTTTACCTTGTGTCCATTACGACAGAGATCTACATTCTAACTGTTTTCTTAACTTAAAAAGTCCAGACTTAATATATTGTCCGTGTCTAACGTCTATATATATTCTGACAGAAAAAGGCATTAAAATAATCAACGAATCTCCCAACTTTAAGCCAACATGTTAACAACCATCATCTATATACTTGGTTTTGGTGCAGGTTAAATTTACAGTGGGTATATAACGTCAATTTATATTTTCACTCTTGCACATATGCATAACATATTGCCCGTGTTTAAAGTCTGAATGTATTACCATCATCTATAGTTAGATACTTGCCTTGATTTTGGTGCAGATTAAATTTAGATTGAGTATATAACATCTACTTATATTTTCACTCTTTATTTGCACATATTTATAACATATGCCCTTACACTAATAATTATTAAGCCATTATTGTGTTTCCAAACTCCAATTCCAGGTGGCTCTCCGTTTTTGAACATTTACTGCATTTTTGGATTTCATGGGTTGTTTTGATAGATCATAGGTGAGTGGCGTTTCTGATCGAATTCTATAAGGTAAAAGCCCACCCCCATATTAAATTTTGCCTCTGTCTAAGCAGATAAGCGGGCCCTGATTCAAACTTCAAAGTCAAACCCGCCGAGCACAGGCTCTCCCCACGTTGAGTGCAATTGGACGCTGCGTGCGTCCTTGATACTGGGAAAACTTTGGCTGTTTGGAAAAACAATCTGGGCTGTTTTGGAGCTTCTTTTCCATGGCAATACTATGGGTATGGGGCGCGAAAGAGTATTTGCAATCAGTGTTGTACTTGTCAAGAACTTGAATGAGGCAACGTGTCATATACAGCAAGCTCCCAAACAGCCCAAGCTGTTTTTCCCAGACAGCCAAATTTGTTCCCTTATCTGCACGGTGCATACCAGGGCTGTAATCGAGTTGAATTCGGTTCGATTTGGTTACATTCAAATCCAATCCGGTTATTTAATGTTATTCTAACCGGATTGGATTTGGATGTAACCAAATCGCTCCAAATTCAACTCAATATTGTGGCCCTGGTATGCATTATTGATAAGGAAAAATGTATTTATTAGGGATGGTAATTTTTCCTGTAAAATTGGGGCCCCGCCCTGCTCCGAATTGGGTGGGTTTTCCTTGAATTTAAACGAGGATGGGGACATTGTTTTGAATTGGGGACTAATTTTGTATATAAGTCCTCAAATCCGGTGATAAATTATTAAAATATATATAGATTTAATATTAATTTCTAAAATATTTTTAAATTTTCCCTAAATCCCTAAAACCCTTAGCATCCAATAATTTAATGTTTAAAATATTCCTAAATTCCTGTAATATAATTTCCAAAATGTCTGAAATATGATGTATTTTTTAGATGTTGGCTTGGGGCGGGGAAAATTCAGGAATTCCCCATCTCCTATAAGGAAGTGTCCCACTTCGCCACCAGGGATGGGACAAGGGATTTTGGCTTCGGGCAAGGACAGGGAAAGGGTGCTCTACCCCAAATCTGTTCAGTTGCCATTTTTACTATTTATGATAAAAAGACATGATATCAAAAGAGTTTTGACCAATCAACCCTTCCCTGTGAATTTTGATAAATACAACCTGATTATTTATCACTTACGGGTTGATTGGTTACAAATTTTTCTGGTATCATGTCTTCAGTATCTAAAACTTACCATAACTTTTCAAAACCTCTAGAGAGACCCCCAGTAAATTATCTACACTTGGAAGATAAACCGTGTTATTAGATAGAAGCTCTCCAGTAAATAAAAAATTGCAACCAGGTCAGCTAACCAATTTAAGAATAGAAGGAAGTTGAGGCAATTTTATGCATTGCTCTTGAGCCAATCCACTACGACAGTTAGGATGAATGATTTCAATCCTTAAATTCAAAATGAGACCTTTTGCTGGTTTCAAACAACATACTCCTGTCCGTTGCCACTGCTTTATTGATTACAAGGTCCTAGCCTCGATGTCCTTTGTGGCATACAGCCCATGGCCTATTCTCTCTTTATCTGGGTTGCACTTATGTATTCTATTCTATCATTCTATTAGGATTTCCTGGAAACCCAGTAAGGACCCTATCCGAGAGACTGAGTCCCTTTGCTTGACTTAAACTCAATCTTCTTTCACCTATTCTTGTATCCAGGAACTATTTTATAGTTCCCACCAATCTGTAGCTCGATAGAAGCCATTCACTTGAAGCAATCTGAAGCCACCACGTCGAGTGATACCTCAGGTCTGGGGATTGTCATTCGCAATTCTTCTGGAGCCTTTTGCTTTGGACGTGCTATTAGAAGAGTTATCTTCAATTGAGACGGAAGCATTTGCTTTACTTGAGGGATTGAAATTTGTGCAGTGTTTGGAAATCGTTGACCTGGAGGTTAAAGGGGATTCTTTAGTATTGATTAAAGCTTTACTGGAGGAAATCTTTGATCCTCTGTGGCACATCATTCAACTGGTTGCCGAGTGCAGGGCTTATATGAATTGGTTTCCCGGCTGCTCAATTAACTTAGGGCCCGTTTGGTTTGCAGGAATATAGGGGTTTGGAATTGAAATTGGAATGGGCTATTCTGATTTTAACTGTTTGGTTGAATGGAATCGGAATCTTATTATGAACCAAATACTATGCATATCGGAAAGACAAATTTAAGAGACATCGAAATATGTCTTGGATACGCATGAATATGGACAAAAAATTAAGATATGCATGGAAACACATGGAAATGCTATAAATACTCTAATAAATCATAAATAAACATCAATATCACTAAATATAAGACATAAATGAGCTATTTACGCATAAAAATAACACATTTACATATTATAATCAATAAACAAGAAGTTGGGAATAGAAACATACTATCTAATTATGGACATAATAGATCCAGTAATTATTTTGTATGCTTTATTCTAAAAATTAAATTTAAATTAAGAAAAGTAAATATGTAACAAAAAATTGAATGGATTTATGGACATAATAGATGAAATAATTATTTTGCATATTTTATTTTAAAAATTAAAAAAAATAAATATCAATATTTTAAAACACAAAGGCATTCCACTACTTAGAGGCATAAAGCATAGTTCAGAATACAATAGGCATGAGGAGGAAAGAGGAAGGGGGGATTTCATTTTTTTTCTTTATCTTTAATAAAAAACTTTTATATTAAGAAAAATAAAAATGCATAATAGTTGTTAAAAGAGGGTCTTGTCGAAGCGGAGGCGAGTGAGCGAAGCAAAGCAAGACCCCCCTAACTCAAAAAAATAAATTAGGGGGCAAATCACTTTCTTTCCCCATATCTTTTCTAACATTAACTGAAAATGTAAAAGAAATTTGAAAAAACGTATTTAGTTTCACTCATTTTTTCACTACCTTGAAAAACTTGTTGAATCTTGCAAATTTATAGATGTTTTGGCAAACTTTTACAATATTTGAGTCTTTAAAAAGGTTAAAAAGCTTTATGAAGGGTTTGGGAAAGAAAAAGGGCTTCTGAAATGGGTTTAGAAGCCTTCTTTCGAAGGGAGTTTTATTTGCATTTCCGCTACAGTAAAATCGTATTGTATCGGCCGATACGCTACCATATCGATATCGTATCGGCCAATACAGTGCCGAAACACACCGATACTCAACGATACATGTACTATACAACTTTAATACAATGAATAAATACGACACATTCAATTTAGTACCATGTAGCATGTCGAAAATTTGCTAGAATGATACGTGACAAAATTTTGAACCTTGAACAAACCTTAAGTGCCTAGGGAGGCGAATGGTACAGCACAAAGTTGCATGTCATGCATTATCTATCAATGTTGTATAAGTTTGGTCTAGGGTTCCTGATTTTTGCGAGATTGTATTTGTAACATCTCTCTAAGCAGTTAATAGGATTTGCTTCGTTAGGCTTCCAAAAAAAGTGACTGAATGCTTTTAAAATAATCTGTTTTGTACGATAAGTTAATAGAGAATATTTTTTGATGGAAAAACAAATTAAGCAATTAGGTGGGTTCTCTTTTCATACTTTGATTTTTTGTTTTTCTAAAGAACTTAGAGTTGATTAATAGGACATAATTTGGCCAAACCATGGGGCATGATTACAACTTTTGGTGATATATGTAATTAGAGGTGTAAATCGGGCTGTGCTGCCCGTGGCCCGGCATGATGGCATGCAGGCCATGTCAGGCTAGCATGATAGTCTGTGTCGTGTTGGGCCTAGGGTTTTAGGTCCACAGGGTGGGTCGGTACGGCACAACCAAGCGGACTGTGCCGTTTATAGCCCGCGTGCCGGCACAGCCTAGCATGACCCATATATACTATTTATGTATATTTAATATATATTTATATATAATATATTAATAAAATAAATAATTGTTTTCAATTTTATTATACTAATTTATTTAATTATTGTATATAAGCAATTTTATACATCAAAATTCATATAAAATTTAAATTTTAAGTTTTTTTTCAATTTTTTAAATAAATAAATAAAAATAACTTCGGCCTGGTCCATGGCCCGGCTTGGAGTAAGGCTTGGCCTATGGGCCAGCCCAGCCCGTGGCACCGCACGGGCCTACATGGGCTGTACCGGGCCGACCCCCAAACTATTCATTGGGGAGGGCGGCATGGCCCGCACTTTGCGTGGGCCGCCCACAGTTCGTGCCATGCTGGCCCAGCACGGCCCACTTTGTACCTATATCTAATGTGATTGTGGGATTTTTGTCATAAGCACCCATCCGTCATGAATTAGATTTTTGATAGACCAGGGGCCTCAAATGGTTGTCTTTTCATACAAATCACAACTTGGTGGTTACTTAAAATGGAGGCTTCAATTCAACCTTTGGCATAGATTAAGGGCTTCAAGTAGTCCATGCACCACCACAGACTCAGGATCCGAGGAAAGCACTTGTACATTGCAGAAATTGCCACTGCCATCCAATGTAATACACACCATTACAACTCCCGTGTATGATTGCCACAACTTAGGGAGTTGCAATCAGCAAAGAGACCATCTGTAGCCTGTAGGTCTGGATGTAGCGTGCCATTCACATAACTGAAAGATCATAGTGTTTGCATACTCAATACTTTCGAGGGCTTCGGTTACCATCCTTCACAGCTAACTCGGTTCCAAACCCTCCATACAATAATGGTTACTGCAATCTAAAAAAGTACTTGTGTCATTTGGCTTCGTTACCTCTACATGTCCTATTGATTTAACATCCATTGATCATGCATTGTCCGAAATCTATCCGCTAAGAGCCTCTCATCAGCCTACGATAATGGATTCAAACATTACAGTTACTGTAAACGAACATCGCCAAAACAGATGATCCTTTGTTTACAACCAAGGTTTTTAAAATCAAACTGGACAGGGAACCATTATGGGGACCGGTTCCCAGGTCGAATGGTCCAACTGTCCGATTCGAATAAATGATCAATTCTGACTTAAAAAATAAAAATAATAAAAAAATAAAATGGCCAAAAATCATTACTCAGGTTGACAGTTCGACCATCCAAATCAATGGATCAGTGACCAAATCAACAAATTTTGACTAAAATGCAGTTTTAGGGTGAAACGGAACAGTTACCTGACCAGGAACCCAGTCCAACCATCCAAATTACTCAGGTTTTGAAAACCATGGTTACAACTTACAACCAAAACAACAATGGTTTTTAAAAACGAACCGGTCAGGGGTCCCGTCACTGGTTCAAACGGTCCAACTGTTCGACCCGAACGGCCAGGCCGTTCTGACAAAAAAATAAAAAAATTTAAAAAATTAGAAAACAATCAAAACCATTCGAATGGTTCAAATGATTATCCAGCCGGTCAGATGACCCATTCCCAGTTTTTCCGATCCAACCGTCAGGTCTGGTCCGGTTATAAAAACAGTGAAAACAACAGAATTTATCTCCATCGGTGCTCCGTAATGCGGACTTCACTGGTAAGCCCTCCTACAACAGCCACCAAGTGATGAAAAGATAAATCCTAGGATATAAATTGCACTGCTACAACCTCTTCCAGTAGAGTTCTGGTTCATGCTTGCACCGACACATTGAGTTCTATAAACTGTCCCATTCACCTTCTTCTCCCTCTGTCATTTCATATGAAGTTCATGCCACGAACAAAACCGCCATAAATTCATTTACCATGCAAGAGTATTTCGGTCATATTAATTACTTAATTGCTTACGTGGACAATTTCTATCGATGATTATCAATGGCGATTTGATGGAAGGTGAGTTTTGAAAAATAAAAACTCTGATGAGGGGCTCCCAGGATGTTCTGAAAAGTTATGGTGAGTTTGAAAAAACACGCTAATAGTGAGTTTTAGATAAATTTGATAGACAAGATCTATATGCATGGAAGATGGTTGATCATCATAGAGATAAACATTAGAAGAATGCGTATTGATACAAAATTAGAAAGAAAAAAGGGGGATGAGCCGGTACAAAAGATGCATCTGGATCATTATACTCCAAATAATACAAGAATTACAAACTCGGATCTTGGTAGGTGGCGCCTGTAACTCAGATGCTATATGTCCTTGCCCAAAAGCCATAAAAGAAGCATGGTGTTGAAGTATCAGTGTGCTTGGCAGGAAAGGTTGAATTATTGACCTGCATATTGAAATTCTCCTATGCATTTTGTAATAGCCTCATTGGCCCTCTGGTCTGCCCTTTCTTCTCTTTTCTTCTTTTCTCTGCCATCCAAAAATATTGCAAAAAGAATAGCTGTTATCATCTGGAAACAACAGTCCTACAACATATGCACAGTAGCCAAGTATCTGGCAACTACTTTAACCTCCCCTGAACTTTAATCTCTTCAAAAACCCCCTCCATATTTTGTAATTTAGAGTATTAAATTACAAAATTACAAAGTTATTATAATAATTTAAAGTATTATAATAATAATAATAATAATAATAATAATGACAATAAAAGCACAAAAATATCAATAAAAAAACAAAAATAAGCAGAGATTTCGTGAGAGGGATGGTGAGGAGAGAAAAGGGTTTTGTTCAAAGAAATTTCCTCTAATTGTTTTCAATTTTTGTTTCATTGATATTTTTGTGCTTTTCCGGTCAAAGGATATTTCAATATTCTTATCCCTGGGCAATATAGGAATTTTATTTTGGGTAAAATTCAAAGCAACGGAAAGGGTCAGCTTGTATAAAGAAATGTGAAGGGAGGTTTTTGGAGAGGTCAAAATTCAGAGGAGATTAAAGCAGTTGTCAGAAATTATAGAGGAAGTCAAAGGCACCATTTTTTTTTCTTGAAGTGCAAAGGCAACATGTATTTCAAAAGCACAAGTCCTTACAGATATAGGACAACTAGAATACCTAAATTCTTGCCACAACACTAATGATGAATATCACAATGAAAGGGAAGTCCTTTTTTTCAGTATACAGACCATTACTCAATGTTGATCACAGTTATCCGGGATCTTGGGAAGGGTAGATTGGACGTGGACCTAACCTGTGGATTTTTTATTTTTTGCACAAAATAGCCACTCTCAGAAAATTCCCATGTATCCACATACCCGTTTAGACACGTCTACTTTTTTTTAAAAAATATCGGAACCATAACTTCAGCATTTTTAGGAGGTTAACATCAGAAGAGTTTTCCTATTTCGATTTTGTCAGTTTACATTCTACATGGTTTAGTACATCTCCCCCCCCCCCCCCACAAGATACTCTTATCAGATTACATTTAATATGCATGAAAGGATTTGGAGCAGTAATAAGATATCATAGCAAAATAGTGTGGAAATAGTTTAGTGCTAATGTGCCCATACCTATCTACATACTCCTTTAAGAGCTCCTTAGCTTGAACCAATTTTGACAGCAGGTTGCGGTATACATCAAGGTCTCGATCTATACTTCTTTTGTTTATGTTTAAGGCTGCACAGAGCTGTTGAGCAACAACAAACATGGTGTCATTCCATATTCAGGAACCTACATACACATACATGCATGCAACATTTATGGTTCTTTCCTATACAACATATTTTATTTCTGCTGTTGGAGGGACAATATGGTAGATCCAAACCACCCACTGGATGGGGAACCCTCTATATTTGCCATGTGCCAAATCCTCCAATCTTATACCCATCTCCCATTGCTTTTTCCCTATGGATTTAAGCTCTTCAAAGTTTCACCTTTCGATTCAAAATTTACCCACAAAGGGCTTTTCTGTTAGACACCATACAAGAGTTTTAAGGATGAAGTCATGAACAGAGTGGCCACAGCAGGTATATAAAGACTCCAGATCTGCTACAAATAAAATTTGCACAACAGGCTATAAAACCCAATCAAGAGAAAAAATGTCAGTTTCTGGTACATCTGTTGACGGTATATGCATTGCTGACATATTTGCTTCTGTTCTTATTGAACTTCCTAGTCCATTGTGTAGTGTATACACCTTGTTTGTAGCACATCTAGAGTGGCATATGAGGCCCCCCTGAGCCCTCCAACTATCTTGCCATAAAAAATGCTCCTAGGCCATTTAGACTTATTCAATAAACCACATTACTATGAGGCCTGCTCCTCTTTATGTGCATGCACCCATCTGCTGTCTATGCACAAACAAGAGTCGATCAAATGCATGTTTGTTGCACCCCATGATGTGTGATACAAAGAACAAATGAAAGTCAGCAATATGACTAATACTGAAAATATTTAATATGCAGATCATGAAAGTTTAACAGTGGATATCACACTAAACAAAATGGAATTGCAAAACAGGATTCATGCAGTTGACCCCATATAGTTGGGAGTAAGGCTTAGATGATGATCATGATCATGAAACTTATATTTAGAAACATGCAGAAGAATAGATATAAATATAAAATTAAATGGGAGAAGTACTCAAGGGAGCTAATAGACTGCAGACTGTTATATGTAGGGAACTCATTCAAAGAGGATGCCCTACTATTTGATAGATATACCCAAGAGATTCTCTGGAATTAGACTTGACTGGGTGATCCTAACAATTTGACCTAATGCATTCACTAAACTAAACAAATATATGACATACAGTCAAAGAAAAAAAAATGTATCCAATAACTAGGATCATGGGCCAATTTCATTCACTGCAACAGTACAGTAGAGGCTAGGCCCTACATCCAACATGTTATTTTTAATAGAAAAGTGCTGACATTTTCCTTGTATGAGGCTAGGGTTTGTGACCACCTCCCCACCCCACCCCCCACACCCAAAAAGAAAAAGAAAAAAAAAAGCCAAAACCCTGGTTTTCCTTCATTTGCTAAAATTAGCGAAGAAAATTAGTGAAATCTGGAATAGAGTAATTCTAGTAATTTCTGACCTGGGAATTGGTGATGAAGGTTCTTGCAGAATCATCTGCATCATAACAAAAATCTGGGTCTCATACTCATCAACCAAAAAAAAGCAAGAAGAAATCTTGGTCTCAGTGGCTTCTTTTAACATCTCATTCTCATTGTAATTCTCGGAGGTATTTGTAGGGATTTCTTGTACCATAATTAAAGAAGGGGTACTAATTATACAGCATTCATTATTCTGCACATACATTTTGATATAAGCATTCTAAACAACAAAAACTTGTAAAACAAACATTGCCTAAATGCATATTTATGATTTTTTTTATAGGTGCATATTTACAATGATACTGGCAAAATTAACTCAAACATCACTGAGAATAGTTGTCTCAACCTTTTCTAAGACAGTTGGTTCTGTTGCATTAGCCAATTCCAGAAGACGAAATAGCCCTATGGCAAAGAAACGACTGTAGCTAAAACTCCCACTGTCTCCAGCTCGTTCTGAAACGTCTTTCAAAATCCCCTCAACTTCTCCTTCTCTAGATGCAAACTCAATTAGCAAACTGGCACTTTGAGTCCTGGCCCAATCTTCCAGCTTTTGTGCATCATTTCTGTATCATAAAATTAATTAATTAATTAATTAATTAAAGTTATGCAGGCTTCCCAAGGTCTCAAACAGATGCAATTTAACTTTCAAAGTATGGAGATGATCAAATCCATGATAATAATTGCAAGTGATTTAACTTTGGGTGATAATACAAGCAAGTAATTACAAGTCATTGCACCTTATTTTGAGAAAGCAAGTTTCAATTCAATACAGTATGTGCATATTTATGTGTTAATAAAGGAGAAACATGATACAAAAAGGAAGCCTTTGGAGTACCAGAATGATCAAACATCTAAGAGAATCATTATTACAAGGAAGAAACATGAAAGTGGAAGATATCCTCTAGTACAAAACAGACTAAATAACATAGGTGTTTGATTCCATTGTGTTTTTCCAAAAAACAGCATTGTGTTTTTTACAATTTTTGAGAAAGCATTTATGCATGGTGCTGTTAGGTTCTGTTACAAAACAGTGCCATGTAGGAGCCACATCAGCCACCATAACAGAAAATGCTTTGAGAAAAGAAAAAAACATCAAAAATGACATTTTCTGAGATGGGCCATTTTCTGCCATTTTTTGAGAAAACAGGTAACCAAACAGCACATACCAATGCATTTTGTTTTCATTTTCTCAAAATCTGAAGGGGCTCTGGTGCGGCACTGTTTTCTCAGAAAACAGCAATGGAACCAAATGCCACCCTAGATGTTTGGACTGTTTTTCTTTCATTTTTTTTCTATTTCCTAATTATTTTATGTTTTATGAGAAAAATTTTTATGTTACTTTTCTAGTTGCCAATTGACATAAATTAGAAAAAGAGAGCAAAGCCTATTCCATAAAGTAAGAAGCTGATCACTGTGTATGCCGATCATTCATCCTAGTGCCAAGGTCTGCGAATGAAATAGCATATCTTTCAAAAGAAATGAGTATCAAGAGTGAGCAAGTTTTGTGATATTACAGTCTTGCTATCATATTTCCATATTATTTAATTTTCAACTTTTTTCTTTTCTAGTGAATCCAGTTCACCCTTATAAAAAATATTTTCTGCAAATTATAAGAAATACATTTTTCAAACAATTTTTCCGGATGATATTATCTATTTTCTTTTAATTTTTCTTCTAACCATTCTACCTATAATGTACTTTACTCATAATTACATGTATTTTAGATTTTTATTTTCCTTCTTGTTCTTGGAAACCACATAATAGTCTAAACTTTCGAGCATTTGCAATTTATTTTCATTGTGTTGTTTCCTTTTCAATCACAATGGATTTGCAAATTTCGCAGTTTAAGACCCAAAAGATTAAACAAAACACAGATGAACGTTCATTTGTAGTTAACATAGCTGTCAAGGCGTACGCAACAAGGCGCCCTTGGAAGCTCACCTCACCTAATTGCCAAGCAGTTTTCTATAGCATGTTATAAAAAACTTTTATATTCTTAATTTTTTTCGCTTATAATTATAAAATAGATATTTTTAAACTAAAATATTCATTTTGTGTGTTTATATACTAATTTCTTTTTATTATTTTCTTATTTGTTAGGGTTGAATCAACACAAACATTGCTAAATGCTGTATTGAACCCTCAAAGACTTCAAAACCTGAACCAATAAGTAAGGAAGAACATAAAATGTTGTCCAATCAACACATTTTTTTCTTTTTCTTTACTAATTTTGTGTGTTCATATTCTAATTTCTTCTTTTTCTTCTTCCACCTTCTCTTTTCTTCTTTTCTTATAACAAAATTAGGGGTTGAGCCCCTATTTTTTTTAATTTTCTTTTCTTTCTTCTTTTTCTTCTCATGAATATGTTGGAATATGTTGATTTTCTATACTTTAACATGAAGTTTATACTTTTCTTATAAAAATTATGGATATTTATTAAGGAAATATGATTAAAAAAATCTATCGCCTAGGCGACTAGGCGACAAGGCGCCCCCCTATCACCTAACCTCGCCTTGGCGCCTTAAAAATTATGGTAGTTAAGTCACCCAGGTTTTTCTTCCAAGGTTCATGATTCACGTATTATATAATGAAGATTTACGCAAACTTTGGTGTCTAGAGGAGCTCTGTTTAATCTATTGCAGCACAAATTTTAATGATTGGTTGCACAGGATAGAAGTCATTAACAGAATCTTAAAATAGAAATTTTTCAAACCTCCATTTGCTGGAAAAATTTATATGTCGACTTTTCCCACTTAGTTTTTCTACAATGTCTTTATGCAACAGATAGGTCAAACTGTCCGCATATCCTGTAAAAGGATCTAGAAACAAAGCTATGAAGCCACCATTGTCCACACCCTAATAGCTTGGGATGGAGGTGATCAAACATGGATGTGGAATAACAAAATTCATACAATTTAAATACTCAATCCAATTGACTCACCAAAATGTTTCCTCCAAAGTTTGAGATAAAAATTCATATAATAATTATTGTTTTCCACTCCTAATAGTAACTACCTGAAGGAAGCACAGCTGCCAAAGCAATATTAGGTTTTAACAAAATCAATAAATAAACAAAAGATAAGGAAAAAATATCTGAAATACCTGTATTGTTCAGGATCCTCCTTCAATGCTTGGATATAAGCTCGGAAGATGGCTTCTCGATCTTCATCATTTGGATACCCTTCCATAAGCTTATCATACACAGTAACAAAACCAAGCGCAAAAACAGCATCATACTGGTATGTCCTCTTATATCTCATCAAATGTTGTTGGACAATCAGTTCCTGCAACACGGTGTTGTATATACTAGGGATAGGCCGCTTGTATGCCTTGAGGAAATTAGATTTTGTCTCACACACCGTGGGCACTTCTGCAACCACAGTAAGAAAATAAGTAGCTGGACACTTGAACCCCTTCCACGCACGCGCACACACACACACACAAAAGTTACAGAAGAAAGGACGTTTATCTCCATAAAGATTAATAGCATAGAGAAAAGAACAAAAAAAAATGAAATTTCAAATTCAATTATAAGTAACAGCTGTGATTCTGGTACCAGAAGCAAAATGGAATTAAAAATTGACTCCAGGAGAAATCAAACTTATAGATATCTTTCTTCCAGTACATTAATAATTACCATTCAGATGAATAAAGATAAAATCAAAGAGAAGTATAAAGATTTTTCAATATCTAATGCTCTTGCTAACTAGAAGAATTCTAAAAATCGCAATATCTAGAGGTACGAATCTTCTTGTATAGTTCTAGAAACAATTCTCCATATTTTTCCCTTTTTCTTACTATTCTTCCCTTTGAAATTTCAGAGGACTATTAGTTCTATGTTGAGCCTAGTTTCTCAAGCAAATAAATAAACGAACCGAAAAGAAAGCACTTTAGACAGGCAAAACCTGAAGAAATTCCACACCAATAAAGTCACTGTTTACATAGAAACCAAAATTCTTAATAGAGGGGGGGGAGAGAGAGAGAGAGAGAGAGAGAGCATATTCAAAAAGAAATGGAACATTAATTTACCTGTTACAGATGACATGCACTGAATAATTGCCATTCGAGAATTCAAATTCTGAGTTTTGGTACCAATTGAAACAGAAAAAATTTTCTTTCGAAAACGAAAGCCGTCAAAAGTGGAACTGAATGGTCGAGCCGAAGAAACCAAACGCTTCCTCCCTGACACTTGGCCTAATGCAGTAAATGACAAAGAAGAAATGGCCGCCATGAAACAAGATTTCTCAGCAAAGAATTTGGTAGGTAAAATTGAAACGAAGAAAATTTAGGGTTTTCAGAGGCGGGGATCCTCTGGCATCGTGAACGCTAAAATCCGCGAAAAAAATCGAATTTTGGCTTTCACTTTATTTTCGTCGTTTCTTTGTTTGAAAGTGGGACGGAGAGACTCTCTGCTCTCTAGTCTCTAACTCTCAACACAACAGTCAACACAGAGGAGGCCGGAGGCTTATCCCGTTTACGAGGTTTTGGTAATATTATCCAGAATCCAGTATAACACGTGTCACATCGTATGGAGATGACCTATCTCGTCATTTTTTTTCTTCCTCTTCCCTAATATTTGTGGTTGTTCCAACTTTTTTCTGTCTAAACTCTAAAATTTACGGGTAGTGTTGTTTGAGGATTTAAAATTTTCAAATGTACCATTTTACTACTTTAATTTAGGAAAAATTTCCGATTTTTGTCTCAAATTTTAAAATGTCGCAATTTAATGGCTAAACTTTTAAAACGTGATAATCCAATATCTACTTAGTTGTTAATCAGCCGTTGTGCCATTTAAAAAAAACACAAATGCCATTCAAGTGTTATTTAATTTTCTTTATCAATTATCTAAATGTTGACAAAAATTTAACCAGAAAAGTTGGGGTCATGTTTGAGTGGGCATTTCAGTGACTCCAATTTTCTTAAATAGAAGAGGCAAGGATCTAAAATTGTTAATTTTTTGTCAATGTTAAATGGTTGGTAAAGAAAATTAGATGACACTTGAAGGGCATTTGTGTCCTTTCAAATGCCACTTAACGGTTGGTTAATGGCTAATTAACAGTAGGTACTGGATTGTTATGTTTCGAAAGTTCGGGTACTAAATTGTCACATTTTAAAGTTTAGGGACCAAAGTAACACTAGGCCCAAAGTATAGGGTACTAATCGGGAATTTTCCCTTTAGGGGGGCGTTCTTTTTTTAGACTTTGAAAGGGGGAAAAGTTGGTCAATGGGATTTTGGTTCCCATTGACCAAGAATCCCATGTTCATTTTTCAAATTTATGTAGGTACCAAGGAATGTTTATTTTCCTGGATATCCATCTCCTAGGTGGGTAAATAACTTTTTCGCATAGGGGGATAGTTGCTAGCACTTGAATAATGCAAGAATGTCCCTTTTAATAATGAATTTTTATGGTTAAAATGGTCATTGCCTTATTTACTTGAAACAAAAGAACATGGGTAAATGCACTTACTCAAGTAAGTGTTTCCTAGGAAAAACTTACCCAGGTAAGTAACTTACCAAAAAGCGAACGAGGCCTTAAGTTAGAAGAAAGATAATAACATGGGTTTTATACATATTTTTGGAAATTAAATTAAGGCCCCTTTCACTTTTTGGTAAGTTATTTACTCCGTTACTTGGGTAAATGCAATTACCTAGGTAAGTCTTTCCTGGGAAACACTTACCCGGGTAAGTACATTTACCCATGTTCTTTTGTTTCCTAGGTAAGTAAGGCAATGACCATTTTAGCCATAAAAATCATCATTAAAATGAGCATTCTTGCCTCATTCAAGTGCTCACAACCTTCTCCCTATGTGAGGAAGTTATTTACCCACCTAGGAAATGAGTATATCACTTACTCCTAGGAAAATAAACTTTCCCTGACCCCCACATAAATCTAAAAAAAAAACATGAGATTCTTAGTCAATGGGAACTAAAATCTCATTGACCAACTTTTCCCTCTTTCAAAATCTAAAAAAAAAAGAACGCCCCCTAAGAGTTTTAGACACAAATGAGCAAGGCAAAATAAGCATCCAATAGTGAAACTATCCCCGATGAACAAATTGGGGTGAGCTTGCTTTACTGAGTTTTTGCCACCGGTTTGCACCCCAAACATAGTAGAAAATGAATACTAGAAAAAAAAATCAAAATATAGACATTTTATAATTTTATCCCTTACCATAACTTTAGTTTAAGTTGAACTTAAAGTCTAAACGTATTTTTTGAAAGTATAGGTACTAAAATGACACATTTGAAAGTTTAAACTCTAAAGTTACACCGTCGCTGAATTATAAGCTACTTATTTGAAATTTACCAAAATACAAATTCATTCAAAGGTGTTCATTGCTAATTCGGGAAGGAAAAGAAATTGTATATTTCTATTTCTTGGGAAGCATTTTATTTAGGAAAGGATTCATCTATGAACCAGAACGTGCTTGGAAATTCAAAATATACATGTCAAATGATTACACTTATACACGAAAGAAAAATGTCAAATTTGATTATTGATAAAATTGGTATTTGGAACCAATGCTCTTTCCTAAGAGGTTTTTTTTTTTTTTTCTCTTTGAGAAAACGGTATTGCATTGGCATTGTTTTCTCAAAAATATTTTTTTTTTCATTTTTTCTGTTTGGGACTGATGAGGGGTAATTTGGCACGACCTAATAAGTAAAGATCACGTGGACGCGATCTGCCCGTACAATAACAACTCAGCAAGGGGAGCCTAGTCAATAGTTTATGGAGTTTGGATCTTCTGCCTCCTTGGCATAAGGTCACCTCAGCGTTATGCCACTTCGGCGTAACACCACCTCGGCATAACGCCACTTCAACCTAAAGTCACCCCGATGCCTAATTATGTTCAGGGCCCAGGAACTGAAGTGACACGTAATCGATTCCAAAAGCTTCCTAGTAGACTCCGAACATCACGAGATCATCTCGCGTAACAGTAGGCCTTATCTTCTCCCCGCCCGGATCGGGCGGCGACGATAAACTTCATTGACTGGTACATTACTCCTCGACTAAAGCGGAAATAGATCTCATCCACTCAGGCCAAAACTCCTAGAACCGTTTCGGGAAATCCATGATAGCTCAACTATATAAAGGCATTGATCCCCCTAGGGTACAGGTATGCGCAATTATTTGCTCACTAGCACTCTAGCACTCAAGTATTCAACTCGCATCCACAATACAGTACTGACTTAGGCATCGGAGCGGCCTCGCCGGGTTAGCCACCCCGGGTTCTCTGATCCTTTATTTTGCAGCTTGGTCCCCCTTGCCACGTGACTAGGGTCCAGGTCATCTTCCAACTAGGAGTATCCAGATCACGCACGATCATTTGGCGCCGTCTGTGGGAATACGGTCGAAAAGTCATCCCAATCCTATTTACAGTACCTCAATGGCATCAAGCAACCACAACGGAAAGAATAACATGAACGTTACTAGGGGCAAGATAATCGCTCCCTAAGGATCCTCGGTGACTATCGACCAGTTCACCATTCCTCTGACCACCTCTGGGGTCCCATCATTATCTGTGCCGCACACTGCCCAACAAGTGAGTGCCCCGCTCCCCCAGGTGAACTCCATGTTCTCGAAGCCTACCGTGATTCCCCTTGGGATCAGGCACTCCTAGTTCAACGACCTCGTCCTGAGCGTTTGAACAATGTAGATCCAAATGGAGTAGATCCATCAGATCCAATAGTTTCAGCAGTATTATTTTTATCAACAATGCCAACAACAGTTCCCACCATTGCAATCAAGCCAGCCGGCAAACAATCAACACCAGGCTCACCAGAACGTTCACCAGTCTCCCCCCCACGGGGAAAAACTTCACAGGTACCGGTCCCTCCCTTGGGACGGACCCCACCGTGGGGTACAGTAGGTGACCGACATACTCCCCTAGCTTCTCGGAGAGAGAACTCAAGGGATGGGCCCGAACCTAGCTAGCCCGAGAGGCGTAGCCAGCAAATTTCTCATGAAGATTGTCAACTTGGGGCTTGAGGCACGGGCTCGAGAAGAGACCCCTTGGTTCCGTGCAGTAACTAACACCGAGCGCATGGCGAAAAGGAAGTGGTGAGGAGAATCTCTGAACCACCTCGCCCTACTATTCGGAGTAAGATCGAAGCACCTGACAACACAGAGGCCGGTAGTATAAATGTTGCTCCACCAAAGAAGCAGCAGCGATGACGTCGCAAGACTCACCGTTCATCAGCAAGGAACGATCCACTAGCGAAGCCTAGCCATCCAGCAGATCAAGGTCGAGAAAGAGAGGAGGTGAGCTTGGTGGCCACAAGAACAACACCTGCTCTTTTGAGCCGGCCTTACCCCTTATCACCCGAGCTCCTAGCAGTCCCGATGTTGAAATATTTCAAGGTGCCGCCTCTAGACAAGTACAATGGGTCCTTTGATCCCAATGATAACGTAGACACATTCCAGTCCTAGATGCATCTCACCGGGGCCGAGAAGGCTTGTATGTGCGTGGCTTTCTCCACCACATTCAGAGGAGTAGTTCGGACCTAGTACAGAAACATCGCACCGGGTTCTATCAAAAGCTGGGTGTAGTTCGCAGATATGTTTATGGCTCACTTCATCACTAGTAAGAAGTGTCCGAAGTCACAGGAGAGCCTTCTGAACGTGGTGCAGAGGGAAAGAGAGCCGATTTGGAGCTACATCAAGCATTTCAATGAGACATGCCTGTAGATACCGGACCTTGACCTAGCAGTACGTCTCACCGCATCATGCAAAGGAATCACCCACAAAGAGTTCAATTGGCACGTCGTTGCCAACAAGCCAAAGAACATCACCGAGTTCCTCAAGTTGGCTGATCAGTTTATCAGCACTGAATAAGATATAAACCAGAAAACAAACAACCAGCCAGGAGAAAAGAGGAAGAGAAAGGAAGAAGGAATGAGCAACAAGAAAAGGAAAAAAAGCAAGTCCCCGAAGCGAAGAAGTAAGTCCCCGAGCTCGAGGAGTAAGTCCCCCTCACGAAGTTATATGTCGGGTCAGCATTCCAAGACCCTGCTAGTGGAGAGAACGAACTATACTCCCTTGAACGCGAAGCGAGGAGAGATCCTAATGGCCATCAAAGACTCATCTATCGTCAAATGGCCACCCAGGCTTCATGGAGACTCGACGACCAGGAACTCGAATGTCTATTGTCACTTTAATCAGGACCATGACAGCACAAAAAATTGTAGAAACCTCCGCAATGAGATTGAAGAGCTAATCCGCCGTGGGTACTTGAAGAAGTACATTTTGCGTGAAGAAAAAGAACAGAAGAGCCAATAGGGAGATAAAAAAAAAGACGCCCCAGAGAGCAGTAAACAGAACGAGCAGCCACCTCGCCCGCTGCCGAAAAAAAGACCGATTCACTAGGTGATTAATATGATCACCGGAGGATCTATTGTAGCGGGGTGCACCCTAACAGCCAGGAAAACGTTAGTCCAAGAGCTGAAGCATGAAGTAGAGAACCCACCCAAGC